TGGCTCAGAATCTGGGGCGAATCGATTTCGAAGTGGTTTCGAAGGCGAAGCAGTTAAGCTAAGCAGGCATTTCGGCGATGATACCACCAAAACCCAAAACAAAGTTTCAAGTCAAGATACGCGGAGAAGAAATACTGCAAAAGGAACCACACCGTTTCTGAGATGTCACCAGACGGCCGAAGGATGGAAGAGTGGGCCAAATGAATTTTACCGGAATTCAATATAAGATACTCTTGGGTGTCGTAGGCATGGTCAGCAAGGATGGTCTTATCCTGAGACACTGATGAGCAGGAGTCGAGAACGAGCTCCATGGTCGTTTTCTGACGGACCAGGCAACAAGTGGAGGACCACCGTTTTGCGATGATGCAGGCTGGCACATGACGACTGGAGTGTGGTCAAGGTAGAAGAGGCGGTAGGGACCACACGCCAGATCGTCCTTAGCATAAACAAAGAGTTGGTAGACGAGCTGACCAAAAATGTTGGTGTGGCTAGGTATGGCTCCAAGTCAGTAGCCATACGGGTCTGAGGCAAGCCACACACGCTTCAACTGGCGAAGAAGACGATATCCTAGACGGTATTCCCTTCAACTCGCGAGAGGGATCGTTGCGCCCGGAGTATGAGGTATTTATCCTCGATGACGACGAGGCCTACAGAACAGTGTTGGATATGGATATAGATGCCTTTGAGGTTTCTGCAGATTAATCTCCACTACTACAAAGCATTATCCGCTGCTCTGCTACTTCGTCTGAACCTAGACGAAGGCGATGTAATCCTTATTCAGGAACCATGAGTCTGCAGATGTAAAGTTTCTGAATTGCAGCGAAAAAAACAGGAAAGACCTGTCCCTTCATTTTAATCATGAATATTAATATTTTGTTGTTACCTAATTTTAAAGATAGCGACAACACATCGGCATGCATAGAGACAAAGGCAAAGGCTCTACGAGTATGCTCCACCTACATTGCTGGCAAGGATGTGAAGCCTCCTCCTCTGTTTACTAGACAAGTCATAGAGACATTTATCCGGCGCAGCTACTTCACGCAGGAAATACTGCCGTCAGATGGCTTGCAGATATTATTCACAAGGTTCTCCTGACAGGGAGTATCCCAGTAATTTGGCTCCGGTCAAAAGTGGTCTTCATACCCAAAGCGGATGACACCTTGCACACTAATCCAAAAGATTTCAGACCTATAAGCCTCTCGTATTTTCTATTAAAGACGTTCGAGAGACAATTAGGTCCCTACTTAACAAGTAAGATCCTGCTCTCCGAGCTTTAACGATTTCAACATGCCTACTGCAAAGGCAGATTCACAGAAACGGCACTCCACGCTGTAACTTCGAGTATTGAAAACATTAGACAATTTTAATTTTCATAGATATCATTGTACATTTAATTTTCTTGTTTATTGTGGGCAATAATTTGATCCCAACAAGAACCAAAAATATTTACATAATTAGATGGTCAGAATAAAATGGAATTTGGGATTGTTTAAGCATATATTGCAGGGATTCCTTAACATAAAATCACTATCGGAGAGCTGACTTAAATTAGAAGCATCCGATGAAAGCAACGATTTTGAAGACATTTTTTTGATTTTCCCCACACTTCCCTATGGGGATTTTCCCGATTTTCCATTCGTATAATCGCCTATATCTCGGAGACTATAAGACCTAGGAACACCAAATTTTAGTCCCAGATGCCTTAAGAAAATGTGTATTTTGGAATTTCCCTCCCTCCCCCCTCTCCCCTACAAATCGTAACTCCCGTAATTCTTGGAATTTCGAACTCAAATTTTGCAAATACCCCCAGTTAGTTATTATGTGTCCGTATGTCAAGTTTCTTTATGATAGACCGATTTAACAAGAAGTTATAGCCATAAATATATTTGCTGCTCAAGCGCTGCCCGCGGCTGTTATTGATGCTGGTGCTTTGGTTGGCTGCACACATGTTTACACAGACACGAATAGATGCGCATAGGCATTCATACACTCACATAGACGCAATTGCTTTGTATATGTGCAATTATACACCCTTTACGTGAGTTCGAATACCGAGAGCGGTAAATTTTTTTCTTAATTTTTTTTATACATTCTATAATTATTGTAAACATATGTACAGAATATTTCAAAGTCGAGACACCCGACTTTAGCTTTTTAACTTGTTTTTTTTTTCTAAAATTAAATAGTTCCACCATAAAAAGGCGACGTATCTCCGCCGCATAAATGTACTAGGCGGAGATTTGATTTTGAGATGATAGTGCCTGAAAGTCCTGAAAATTGGGTAGAGCAATCTTTCTTAAAAGTTTTCGAGGCCATTTCTGTCTTACTTACTGCAAGAGGGTCCATCAATGGGGCTAATGGAGGAAATTAAAAAAAATTCCAGGGGAAGCAGACAACAAGATTGCTGGCGAGAGATCTTGAGCGTGATGAGGTTGACGGGACCGAGCAAGGCGGTACCTCTAAAAATTGATGCTCTAACCTACGCTTGGGGGAGAGCTAAACCTATATTGGCTAAGCAACTTTTCTCCAGAGTCGAACTAAGTTGAGAGTTGCTCAGTCAACTTTTGCAATTTTAGAAATTTATTTCTCACGTTATTATACAATGAGGGCTACCGCGAACACACACACAAAACTTTTTGCAAGAAAAGGAAGGTTGTAAATACAATAAAGGCAAAAACAAACATTCATAATTCACAAATTAAAGGTAAACTAAAGCAAATTAAAAAAAATAAAATAAACTCGTCCTTTCTCGGACCTAGGAGAATCTGGATGCCAACTTTGGTTATTCTAGGTTTTATAGTTTCTGAGATCCTTGCGTTCATCCAGACGGACGGACGGACATGTCTAGATCGATTTCTCTCGTTATGCTGATTCAAAATATATTTATGGGGTCGGAGATGCTTCCTTCTGCTTGTTACATACTTTGCACAAACCTAATATACCCTTTTTACCCTACGGGTATAAAAACACAGAGCGCACGCAAACACGTCTTTCACTGACAACAACTCTCTCATATTATTTTAAATACTTGAATATTCTATTTTCAATATCCATGTGCATGTAATAGTTTACATCTGCAAATATTCTGTTGAACCAAGCGCTCACCTCGGGAGTTACCCTAGCAGTCCATCTCCTAGAGGTCTGACTGTTTGACTGTTGTTTCGCTACAGCTCTTAAGAAAATAATTTCCGTCTTTTCCGTTAATAGGGTGAACCCATCTGAGGTTATTAAAAGCATTATTTACGTGTAGGGTTGCTAGAATGACTGATTTCGTCTTTGGGTTTCTTTCACTGTTGACATTACAACTTTTATGGTCCCAATTTGTAATCGTCCTGGCCGGGATCCATGTGGCCTCCTTAAGAGACCCGATGTATCGAGTAAGCACAGCGATCAATAAGCACTTGCTGTATTAGGGCCTCCCTAACCCATACTAATCAGCGTTAGTTGCTGCTTTTTCCATGCCTTAGGAAGCACACCTTTTACCCACAAATTCTGGGCGAGTATCTGCTATTAGCAGCGGTTCAGAGTTCATTTTCCGTGAAAATCGGTGTGTTCACTCCATTTATCGTTCCTGGATCCCTTCAATTACCTTGGTGTTGGAATAGCTACTTTACAATTTTATTCATTAATTTCTCGTCTACGATATGCGTTTGGCAACGTAAATCATTCGTTATTCAACAATGTCAAATAAACAGTCTTATTCATTGCCTGTTTGAGGACTCTAAGCTTCGCAGCATTACAAACCTACGTTACGCAGCTCGTGGATTATCTTACTAAGCCTCTAGCAAATCTGGTGCCATCTACTTGAGATCTACTACTATTCCACTCCCGCGTGGATTTTATGCTACAGTATTGGTTGGGTCTACGCTCCGATTGAACAGTATAACTAATATACTTATGATCCATGCACTCCTATTGACATCTTTTCCGAAACCAGTATGATGTCTGAGCTGGTGCCCACGCAACCAGGTCTACGGTTGGAATATACAATATATACGCCATAAAAAAAATATAGAGAGATCTAATAAATCTGTATACTGAGAAAACAGAATACTGCAGATGTCAGCTAGCTATTCCATGTCGTATTCCAGTATACAACCATTCAAAACTTACTGGTCTCGGTTTTCATGTCGCTGTGCCCACAGTTACTATAGTTCGATCTCAACGAGTGTTAAGTAAAAAAAAATTCCAAAATACACATGCTGCGTATTCACATAAGGCATGAACTAATTTGGTGTCCTTAGGACTTATAGTCTCCGAGATATAGGCGATTATACGAATGGAAAATAAGTAAAACCCCCATAAAGGGGGGAAATCAAAAAATACAAGAAACTTGAACAGCGTACACACATAAAGCAAAATTTGTGCAATTTTGTGTCTCCAGCTCTTATAGTCTCTGAGATCTAGGTGTTCATACGGACAGACAGACAGGGCTAGATCGACACGTTTTGTCATGCTGATCAAGTATATATTCTTGTGGGGTCTGCCACGCCTCCTTCTGCCTGTTACATTTTTCAGCTCGCGCAAACCTAATATGCTCTTGTACATTTTATGTACAGAGTATAAAAATTTAATTAAGAGACATATGTATGTATATTAGTGTACAGTTTCAACAGCATACATTTACATCAGTTTCTTATCTATGCGTGTGCAGTAAAGAATTAAGTCAAAGAAGCAACAGCCTTTAAAATTTACCAGTCATTATAATAGTGGCACACGGACACATTATCACTAACTAGCGGTATTTGCAATTTTATTAAAAAATTCGAAGAAGTACGGGAGTTATGGAAAATCATTAATAGTTGTGGTTCTGGGTATTCATCTAAATCATCTTGAACTAAAAATGGGGGTCCCTAGGTCTTAGCCCCCAGTTAGTGATAATGTGTACGTTGTCATGTTTCATCAGGATAGGTCAACATAAAAGGAAGTTCTGGCAGTAAATGTAATCTCTGCCCGTAGTAAAAGTAAAAATTTATTTTATTAATATGTACGTTAAGAACTTAGCTAATGTAAAGGATGATTTATTATTTGAAGTAATTTCAAAAAATTCAACGGAAGCAGTTTACTTTAAAATGTAAGCTTCTAAAACCGTACAACGGTTTTAACGTTATGTAATGTTCATGTTCTCGCAGTTAAAGTGCAGTTTCCCCAGGGCCCAACTCTTGAGAAACAATCAGTAACTTTTTTGTGCATACATGTTCATCTAGGCGATCTTGTTGAGTATCCTCGTATTTATGAATGGGGGTTTTGAGTGAGGAACAAGCTCCGCGTTTGCGTGCTGTGTTTGTGCTGCCGGGAGGCAAAGCTTGGACGTTAGCATCACCTAAAGCCACAGTGTTTGTTGGCTCGTTCCCATCCAAGCAATACAATAAGCTGGGGCTAAATTCTGATTCGTCGAAGTCATCAATGTCATGAGTTGTAGGACCAAAATCATCCGAGCGACTAGCAAACGAAAGATCCCCTGGACTGTTCGTGAGCAAACTACGTGCAAGCAAATATTCCCTGTAATTTAATACTGTATAAAATGCGAATTTTTTGTAGCTTTAGTTATTCTTACTTGAAATCATTAGAAAGCGAATCGCATTCAATATCGCTAGCTTTGTATCCAATGCGTGTATCATCGTTAGGGCCGCTTATATGCTCTTGCAATTCATTGGTAGTACCGATGCAACGCCGACTTCTTAATAAATCGACATAACCGCTCACTGACATGGTATCTTTGCTGTGAAAAAGCGGCGATTCCAGTTTACAAACTATCCTATCCAATGGATCTTTTTTTTCTTTATCCGATAGACTCAAGATGTTTCGTGCAGCATGTGTTTGAGTGGCATCTACGTTTCCCATTCCGTTGAATACTATGACAGGCTTACGCGACCGTGGTGTCATAATAGACTCCTAAGGATTGGTGTGAAATCTATGTGAAACGAATACGTGGGAGAAGCTCTTACCTGCATGGCCTTTGACATACGTTGTGTCGACTTTGTTATGGGAGACATGGATCGTCGTAAGATCGCTGGGGTACTAGTAATTAGGTCCATATTGTGGTTCTCGCTGTTGTGTACCAGTTGTTCGTAACCAACACTCATGGACATAGGCAGGTCGTTGGAAGTGCCACTTCCTTCCAACCCAGATTCTCCATTATCGTCGTCACTGTCTTCATCAATTTCTTCAGACTCTGTCTCCAATTCAATTTCGTTATTGTCGATATCCTCAAGCAGCGGGATGTCGGCATAACTACCTGCTGCTACCATCTGATTTGTGGTATCGGAACGTAGTTTTAGAGATGCCGAAACGCTACGCACCAAACGCTTACTGGTCTCCGGTGTGCTGAAAGGTATGCGAAGATTGCCCATGCTGACACCTTTCATGATTTTACGCGTTAGTGATTTCATTTCGACTATTGGCGTCAGTCCATTATGGTCCGGTAAAACCTGCGGCAACATATTGGAAAGATTTGGTTCGGATTTGAAAATTGACGTTTTCTGTGCTGGTGCGCGTGGACTATTGTATTTTCCAACATCAAGTAAATGATGTTCACCCCAGACCACGGATTTTTTTTCTGTTATACGAGTCAGCTGCTTATCTGCTGTTGTTATGAGTTTTAGCGATGTGTTTTCGTCAGATTCCTCCACAGATACAGCAGAGAGTACGTTTGACTGTTGCCGACTAATAAGAGCTGATGCATTTCTGCCACTATAACTACTGCTTGATGAAGTGAAATTGGTTTCAAGTGATGTGGATGAAATTGATTTCTGAAGCGGATGCAATGGGTTAGTGCTTATGGCTGCTGATGTTGTAGTTGAGGACGAACAGGCGACACTGACGGTTGTGGGACTTTGAAAAAGAACACGCAATTTTGGTTGCTTAACTTCTGAAAGATTAGGCGTCTGGCATGGAAAGAAAATCAGAAATACATGCGGTTATTGCTTAAATACAAGAAGAAGGATGTAGCCCTTACTTCTGTACCAATAGAAAGAACAGCAGGCGCTCGTTTGGGTGTGCGAGACATAATACCCTTGTGAAAAATGTGCTTTTTAATGGAGTCACCCAAGGATTTCGCACCTCGTGTGGCTTCGTTGTTTTTAAGGCGATTCATGACCACCAACTGCAAGGGTGTGCCTAATCAAACAATAAAATTAATACAAATTATTAAGACTGGAAGTACACCAATGCCTACCCTGGCCATTTTGCTTGTTGAATTGTTTGATAAGACGCCGCTTTTTCGATGATTCAGGCATACTCTGTATATGAGCATAAAGCTGCGCAAGCTCTGTTGTGGTGTTTGTGTTTGTGACTGCAGCTGTGGCAGCTCTATCAACAAAAGTGAATACGGTCTCAACTGTCGAAATATCCGAAACTGATTCATCGAGCATTTGTTCTGGCGACATGGTTTTTTTACGTTTGCGCTCAAGGAAATAAGCGCGTATGTCCGTTGCCAATTTGGTAGGCACGGCGAAAATCTCTAAGCCACGCAAAATCATATACGTAATGATGCTACTCATTTGCTTTGCCGTGTAATGAAGAACTTCGGGCGGTAGATTGCGTGGACAAATAAGATGAGGCGTAAACAGTGTGGCCAGGTTACCGGCGGACATTTTGTTAACACTCTCATGTTGTGCTACGGCGTGTAGCATTTCGATTATATGATGCAGTAGTACTCTATTATCCTCAGGAAGCAGAAGCATGAGCAATTGAATTGAGCTTAGAAGATGCTGTTGGTTTTCAAATGTGGCTCTAGTTGCCAAGGCCTGGCACATCGGCGCTATTTGTAAGTGGATAGGATAGTGCGCATCCGTAAGCAATGGTTCCGGTAGCTCAGACAAAAAGCTTTTAAAAACCGTGGCACAATCGTGGGCCGAAAAGCCCGACCGCCCTAGGTGGAGGGACTTTTCGTGTTGTAAATTCACACGTAGCTCATTTTGGCGCGAGACAGATCCTGTTTTGCGAAATAGTCCCTCCTGTATGAGATCTATGGAAATATCAGGGTTAATGAAAATAAAAATGTAGAATGAAAGGAGGTACTTTTTTCCAACATCAGAAACTCTTTAAGCTCTTGAAGGTGCATTTGAAAACCTGGGTTTATTGGCTTCTGAAGGCATTCTGAAGGACTATTTCTGCTTGCGCATGCTGTGGGCACACCGATTGATCCGCTATGCCCCAATCTATGTTTCTTTGGTAATCGATTCCACTTCTTTAGTTTGCCCTTGTCCTCGTACACAATTTCGTGGCAGGGAGTATCTAAGTCAAATCTAGATGTATATTGCGTTAGTTGACAATTTTACACATAATACATTTATTTATTTAACTTATAAACAAGAAACTTACTCATCTGTGTTCAGCTCAAGTTCAAAAGATAAGTGCATACGGACAAGAGACTTAAACTTTTCAAAATTGCAGTCGCGCATGCGGGACGCTAACTCGACGTCGTTGAATTCATTAATGTTCACGAAGTCCATTTTGTTAGCGGCATACGAACAAATAAATCTAGGAAGTATATGTGTAATCGTGAGTATAGCAAAAACCCTTCTGGTACATTAATTAATTACAATTCGTATTATGTTTTTCTATAAAAAATATTTACATATGCGCAGTGCTTATTTCTAGTTATGAACATAGGCAAAAATAAACGGGGACGCTATACACCGACTTCTATAAAAATAAGATATTATACACACTAGCAATAAGTGCTGTAAAAAGTAAACAATTTTAGTGTCGTGACAGCACTGTTTTAGTTTACGGCATTTAAGCGAGTTAAATTCACCGCGCGTTTTTATATTATTATCGATAAAAAATGGTTCTGATTACACCAGTAACACCACCTGAACATTTACTTTACACTGCCAATAACATAAGACTAAAATTGGGTAATAAAATAATTGGGCAGGGCACAATATATATTTCCCAAAAGTTAGTTCATGCCGCAATTTCTTCTATGTATGTATGTGTGTATACATTTTTACATATGGATATCTTACCTTTTCAGCTCTCTTTCTTGGCAACCTACCAATCTGCCTGAGGGAATTTGTATTGATTGGAAACAAGTGAGCCTGCACGGTATCTCGCTAAACCCCACTAAATGCATTTACTTTATGTTGGACCATCAAGTCATGTGGGAAGGCGTCTACATGGACGAGCCCGGGTCGTTATTAGAAAACAATCATGATGTCGAAATTGATAATAGTTTTGAATTTGCGATAATGGAACAACCAGTTACCGAATGCTGGTTGCTTCCAGACGATATCGACATACATAGCGTTGATACCATGTATCGCGTCATGACCACGTGTCAGACCTTACACCCTGATTCAGAGGATACAAATTCAGACGAAAGCGAAGACGAATTCGCAATTGGTGGCATAATTCACGAGGACCAAGAAGCTGGAAATAGCGACGAAAATGGTCGTGCAGAGTCTTGTGTGATGGGCGGCATGATGCAAGAGCTGAATTTGGAAGACGAACGCTTTGAAGATGCAGAGGAGTAAGCCGAAGAATATAAATCAATAAATTATTCTTGTGTTTAATATTTTCGTAAAAGAATAAATTCATAGTACTTATTTATGTATGTACATGTATACTAAAATTTGCATGTTCAGCTCTGAGGTTTTTTTTGTTTTACACGTGGTCCTCTGTTTGTCGCTTTATTTCATCATCATCCACAGGTACAGTAAGCTAAACAGAGTATGAATAAACTGGTCAAATTTCTATTATATGTTTTAATTTAACCATACTTACAGCATCCGACACCTTTATCATTTTCATTGCCTGACGGTAACAATCGCTATTGGATGGTAGTCTATCGTAGTTCCAAAACATTAATTTATCAAATGTGCCTGTCAAGCGTAATTGGCGGGCTGTCAAGCCTCTCATTGATTGTCTTGTTTCTTGTAGAACAGCAGCTTTAAATCCATCAGGCACACCGATTTGCTCTCCCAGCAGAGGATAACCTCGTAATGCATTTGTTGAAACTCTTCCTTCAAAAGGGTGTTCTGAGCGAGTGTAGTTGTTAAAATATGTGTCGACATTCGCGTGAGCATCACCATCGATTTTTGCAGGCAAGTAGTGCAAGTGCAATCCTTTACTGGTATTGCGATTTAATTTTTTTATATTAAAATCAAGCGTTATGGACATTATTCTATTTCTGGAAAATTAATATCTATGAATATATGTATGCACATATGTAAGTATAGTACACAAGAATGTCAACAGCGCCAAATTCCGCTTAGTGTTTCATAACGCAAAGTATTTAAACAAGTTTTGGAAAAGATGGTGAGCGCCAGTATTGAAAAACACTAACAGTAGTGAAAATTATATTTGTCGGTGAAAAGTATATGTTTAACGCAGCATGATGTTATAAACATCATTTTGTCGTTCGCAACGGTAATAAATGTGATTGAACCATTAAATTTTGGTTATGCTTTTCTATTAGTGGTGTCCATTTTACATTGTTCGGTTTTATACCTTACGTCGAATCGAGATTAAATTGACGAGAAATTAGTCACAAGTCCACATAAGAAAAGTGCACATACATACCTATTTCTACACAAATTTACATTGTTTTGAAGTGCATACACCCTTCGACGACAAAGTAAAATACTGAATATATTTACATAAGTGCTTGAAAACATCAGTATGTTCATTCAATATTGTAGTAATTGTATTGTCAACTTGGTATCTAGGATCTTGTAACAATTTGGCATTTTAGTAGCAACACGCACATACATATGTATGTATATATGTACATACATATGTATACACCAAACCCGAACGAGCTGGTATGATATGATCAAGTTAGTTTACAAAGCGGATAACAACATACATACATATGATGTAAAAATAGGAACGATGTACAAAAAAACCCAATTAAACATGCTTTTAGTTTGTAGTGTCTTTGCAAGCGCATATACATATGTATGTATGTAAGTACTTTGCATACATATATGTATTTGTATGTATGTATAGCTATATGTATGTATATGTTTTGTTATACCTAGCATTTATATGCATATACAAATTTATGAAATTGATAAAGTTGAATATTTTGTGCTGTACACATACATACATATGTATATACATGAATAAGCATGTATGTATGTTTATAATTTATAATTAAGTTGTATGTAATGTAATGTATGTACATACATAAGTGAAGATTTGGGAGCGTGTGAATTATTTTGGGCAAAACCCATGCATGCCTATGTACACACATCATTTACATACATATACAAGGAGCGTTCCAATGTAAACAGAACTTTTCGAATCTAGCGCCCCCTGGTAGCGCTATCTATATGTCGACTGGTGCGTTAGAATCTGCTATCTTTATTGATTGTCCAGTGAGAATTTCATGATTTCATCGATTGGAAGTGAAATTATTGCGTTTTAAGTGTCAGTATGATTGTGTTATCGGTGCGAAAATGAGCTTCGAACAAAGAGCCAACATTACATTTTGTTTTAAAAGTGGTAAAACTTTTACCGAAACGTTTCCATTGATGGAACAAGTTTATGGCGATGATTGCCTATCCCATAGCACAGTGCACGAGTGGTTTCAACGTTTTCAAAGTGGTCGTGAAGACATAAATGACTATCAACATGTGGGCCAATCAAAATTCGTGATCACCGAAAATCCATCGAAACTGTGCGTGAATTCATCAAAAATCAGCCGAAATCATTATTGAAATTGATGGAAATGGAATTGAACATCTCCAAAACATCGATTTATCGCATTTGGACCGGACATTTGGGCTTACGAAAGGTGTGTGCACGGTTTGTTCCGCACAAATTGATTGACGACCAAAAATTGCTCAGACGATCGACGCTTGTGACCGATTATTTGACCAAAAATCACATTTTAACCATTAACCACTCGCAGTATCTACCTGATACAAGTATGTCACCGTGCGACTTCTACCTTTTCGGAAAAATGAATTTGCCATGAAAGGAAAGCGTTATGCGGACGTAGAGGCCATTCAAAAGGCGTTTTCGCACCGATAACACAAACATACTGACACTTAAAACGCAATAACTTCATTTCCAATCGATGAAATGCCATGTCACTGGACAATCGATAAAGATAGCAGATCCTAACGCATCAGTCGACATATAGATAGCGCCACAGGGGGCTCTCGATTCAAAAAGTCCTGTTTACTTTGGAACGCTCCTTGTATATACTAACAAAATTTGAATACTGTAAGTGGTATTTTAATTGCTTCGTATATACAACATACAGTGAATCAATAAAGTCTTGGCACAAGCAGAATTTTTTATGAAATACGTATTTAATACCTATTATTGATGGGCTTTGAAAATTTTTTGTGATGCAGTTAGTAACATTCGGTAATTATCTACACAACACATGTGAAATTGTTCCGTTATCTCTCATACAACTGAAAATACACAAGAAAGAAGAAAGAAATAGCTTGAAAACACATCAAAAAAGTCTTGGCACACAGCATTAATTCGTCGTATATTTGCAAATATAACGGTAACCTTTACACACCTAATATTTTGTAACACCGCCCTTAGCCTGGATAACTGCTTCTAAGCGCCTACGCATACTTCCGACTAAGTTGGATGTCTCCAAAGGAGTTATTTCTGCCCATTCCGTGCGTATAGCATCTTTGAGGGAGTCCTTTGATGTTATTTTATGTTTGCGTATTTTTTTTTCCAAAATGTTCCAAATATGCTCGATAGGATTCATATCCGGCGACTGTGGGGGTGTTTTTAATTGTTTGCAATGCCATATAAGCCATTCCTGCACCAGATACGACGTATGCTTTGGGTCATTGTCCTGTTGAAATTGCCAACTACGTCCATTTAACCCCAATTTCTCCGCACTTGGAAGTAAATTTTCTTTTAAGATATTGAGGAACACATGTTTATCCATTTTTTCATCAATGAAGACCAAGTTTCCGACTCCAGATGCAGCTATGCACCCCCACACCATGACATTTCCCCCACCGTGCTTAATTGTTTTGATTATGTTATTTTCTTGGAGTTCTTTGTTAGGCTTCCGCCAAATTTTTTGCGCGCCATCTGACCCAAATAAGTTGTATTTTGATTCGTCACTGAATATTACACTATTCCAGAATGATTCCGGCTGATTTAAATGGAGCTTAGCGAACTCCAGTCTCTTCTTCCGATTTTCTTTCGAAATGTAAGGCTTGCGACGGGGGACTCTTCCATGGAAACCAGCTCTGTATAATGTGTTCCGTATTGTTTGAGGGTTAATATTTTCTTTAAAGCGTTCCTGCATTTCATGGCATAGTTTGACCGCAGAAAGCCTTGGGTTTTGTGCCACCGCAGCGACTACTACCCGCTCCTGGCGTTGTGTAAATTTTTTTGGCCGCCCGCTTCTGGATTTATGCTCCACTTGGCCGCTTTCTATGTAGTGCTTTATAATGTTTCGTACACTTGAAAATGGTTTGCCAACTATAGTGCCAATTTCGCGATAACTTTTTCGCTGGACATACAGATTTATAATCATTTTACGGACTTCTACTGAAATTTCCATGCCTCCACCCATTTTGATCGCTTTGTCACCAACTTAAGAGCAAAACTAACTTCAAATCACAAGGAAATGGAGGAATGAGCAATTATTGAAGACAGAGTAAGAAACAGATCAAAGAAAATTGAAAGGTTACCGTTATATTCGCAAATACACGACGAATTAATGCTGTGTGCCAAGACTTTTTTGATGTGTTTTCAAGCTATTTCTTTCTTCTTTCTTGTGTATTTTCAGTTGTATGAGAGATAACGGAACAATTTCACATGTGTTGTGTAGATAATTACCGAATGTTACTAACTGCATCACAAAAAATTTTCAAAGCCCATCAATAATAGGTATTAAATACGTTTTTCATAAAAAATTCTGCTTGTGCCAAGACTTTATTGATTCACTGTATGTATTAGAGAACTGCAACGAGTAGTAAATCGGTCATACTCGAGTATTTACACATACTCGGTATGATTATTTCATTTGGGTATAGTGACAAGCAATGACTGGTTGCGAACAAGCCCTCAACGAACACTCAGTTCGAATCAAAACTGCAAAAACTCAGAAGTGAGCGGTTGTGACCGAAACTTCTTGCATGATTGCAAGCAATGATTGGTTTTAAACGAACCCTCACCAACCAGTCAGTTCGACTCATAACACATATGTGGACAACAAAGTTCGCGAAAATCGTATCTAACCCAAGCCCGGGAACTAGATAACGGTAAATGACTTGTAAAATTTGTATACAGTCCTTCTAAGCTGAATTTAATAAGGTCGCACTGTAAAACCTGTTTGTTTAAAATCTAAAATATTCTAGTTACCTTAAAGTAATATTTGTGTTTAAACGAAACAACAGTTTTTGTCAAGATGCCCAATTCAAGTGGCGCAAAATAATCAATAATTTGTTGTTAGTAAGCATTAAATTTTTCTTTTTATTAAATTACAATAATTAAATTAACTTTAAATTAAAAAAAAAATTAAGAGTATCTGGCTTGGTTTGGGAGCAGTGGGTGATAGATAATGTTAAGACTTAAGGGGGGTCCTATTCAGATGGCGAGAAATGTATGTATGTATGTATGTATATGCATAAGTACACAGCTGCCATAAGAAGGATTGGTGCAGGTTTCTATTAAATAATGAGGGTGAGAGGCTTAAATTCGTTAGTCAACATAAGGTTACATATGTGTGGATGTCAGTATTTTACACCAGCGGTGGGCACGTAGTGGCTCTTTGGGCTCCCAGGGCTCTTTCCGTTATGTTTTGGTAACTGGCGACAGCCAGACGCACAAGCAGAGTACCGATCTCGAGCAAACTTACAATAACAAAATACACGCAGTTTTGTCGCCAGCCAGACGCACAAGTAGAAGACCGAACTTACAAACCTATCGCGACAGAGTTTACAAAAACAAAATACATGCAGTGTTGTCGCCAGCCAGACGCACAAGTAGATCGATGCAATAACAAAATACACACAGTGTGTGTACTGATGATTGATTTGCAATACCCGCTGATGGTCACTTATGCACTCACATTCAAAGTGTATTGACAAATTATAAATTATAGTGTTTCAGTATCCATTATTAACATCTTCAATGCTTCAATTAGAAGCAAGTTTTGCCAGCACTTATGTGTGCGAAGCTGCATTTTCAAACATTAAATATATTAAAAATGTTTATAGGAATAAATTAAGTGACATAAATTTATCAGATTTATTACGAATTGCTTTAAGTGAAGAGGAAATAGACTTCGAAAAATTATTAAATGAATGTTCATAAATGCGATCAAAATTTTTTTCGGTGTACCTTTTTTTCCTAATTTTTTGCTCGCAGTTTATGATGTTCTCATAACCCAAGCGGTAGTTTTTGTTGTAGATGTTGTTGTAGGACTCCCAAACTAAAATTTCGTGCCCACCGCTGTTTTACACGATTACTATGCGCTTCATTCTTTAACTAACTCAGATATACAGATAAACGTAGATGTGCGACAGTCACTATTAATCTTAACTAGAAAAATATATGTGTGCTTATATTTGCCGATTCGAACTCACTAATTCTACATACTTCTTTTATATATTTCGCAGTGCGTCTTGCATTTCAGTTTTTTATTTAATCTTCGTAACGAACATGCAAAATTAATGAGTACCTCTTAATACATGAATAATAATTTAAATAATGGAACGTAGCTGTAACGACAACAAGCGGCCAAGGCTGCCAGCATAAGTAACAACAGAGACAACTGCAACTTATTTATTTGCCGCTGTCATTTCCACCTTTTATTGCTTCCTGGATGCGGTACATACCAACAGAGTTTCCACACAAAAACAAAACAACTTCTTAATATGCAAACATGATTAACATTAAATTGATATAATAAAACATTAACAAAGTAATTGGAATTAATACTATATAGTCTAAAATTATGAATAAATTGGACTACTCGCGTCGTAATGGTACGCAAAAAGTTCGAATAACAAGTAAGTGTGTATATATAATATATGTAATATATATATTTTTGAATGTTTTGTGCATGTTTTTGTACCCGTATTTTTTCAGTATTGTGTGCGAGAAACTTGGCCCGAAAGGACTTATTTCGTAAGTATTACCAAAAATACACATTTAAATCAAATGTAAGAACGAATGGTAGTTACTTTCTTGTTAGTATGAAGGAGAAGGACATAAACCCATGTATAATAACATCCCGTACCCAAAGGGTAAAAGAGAATATTAGCTTTGTGCGTGCAACACACAGAAGGAGGCGTGGTAGACCTAGACCCCTGAAAGTAGGGGGTCAGTTTGACAAGACGAGTCGATTTGAAAATGTCCGGCTGTCTGTATAAACGCAATGATCTCAGAAAGTATAAGAGCTACAATAACAACACTTGGTGTCCAGATTCTCCAAAGTCCTTTTGCTAAGTTTCATTACGATAGGCCGATTGAGCAGGAAGTTATAGCCATATATGCAATCACCAAGCACTGCCTGCAGCTGTTGTTGTTGTTGCTGCTTTGCACAGGCACACGAGATATACACAGACACACATAAACACGCATAGTCACGCACACTCTGTTCGTATGCAGTTATAAATCCTTTGTGGGAGTTCGAATACCAAAGGAGGAAAAATCGTTCCAAGTTCTTCATACTTTTTATACTCTGTGCATGAAATGTACAAGAGTATATTAGGTTTACGCGAGGTGAAAAATGTAACAGGCAGAAGGAGGCGTGGCAGACCCCACAAAGTAAATGGTATGGTATGGCTGAGGTAATGGTTATTACCCGCACTCTTAGGCCTGAAAGGCCCCATGTGATACCATATAATCTCTGTTGACTTTCTTCGCTACTGTGGCCACCCGGTGATTTCAAGAACCCTTGCGATATTCGCACAGTCAAAGTTTACCAGGTCTGAGAGATCATTCAAGATCTTCCCAGGGTAAAAAGTCTGGTCCTACTGAATGCTGGGAAGTAACAGAGGAGCTACTCGATACTCGCCTCCTCTTCTTCATATTCTACAGTTCTGTTCAACATTGTGCTGTATGCATGCTCCAACAGACACATAGACGCAATTACTATGTAAATGTGCAATTATACACCATTTACGTGAGTTCGAATACCAAGAGAGGTGTATAATTAGACATTTACATGTCTATGTGTCTGTTGGAGCATGCAGACAGCACAATGTTGAACCAAAGCAGCAACAACAGCTGCGGGCAGCGCTTGGCTAAATACTATATTATAATGAATCTTAGTATACGGAGGTATTTGCCTAATTTGAGTCAAAAAACCATGAATTGCGGTAGCGAGGGGGGGGGGGGGGTGTTGTAGGTAATTTCCAAAGAACTCATTTTCTGCGTATTCACATAAGACAACTTGGACTAAAATTTGGTGTCCCTAGGTCTTACAGTCTCCGAGATATAGGCGATTATACGAACGGCGTTACGTGTACACATAGGGCAACAGTCAACCAAACAGCAACATCAACAACAGCTGCGGGCAGCGCATGGTCGGTCTATCATAGTGAAACTTGGCATACGGACACATAATACCAAGTTAATTATACTCTGTACATGAAATGTACAAGAGTATACTAGGTTTGCGCGAGCTGAAAAATGTAACAGGAGGCGTGTCAGACCCCACAAAGTATATATATTCTTGATCACCATGACAACACGAGTCGATCTATGTCTGTCTTGGAACACCTGGATCTCAGAAACTATAAGAGCTAGAGACACCAAATTTTGTGTGTACGCTGTGTTTTATTTTTTTGATTTTCTGTATGAACACCTGGATCTCAGAGACTATAAGAGCTACAGACACCAAATTTTTCACAAAGATGCTTTATGTGTGTACGCTGTGTTTTATTTTTTTGATTTTCCCTCTTACTTTCTCGGACTTAGGTGAATCTGGATACCTAGTTTGGCTATTGTAACTCTAATACTTTCTGAAATCCTTGCGTTCATACAGACAGACGGTCGAACGGACAGACGGACATTGCTATATCGACTCGACTTGTCATCCTGATCAATAATTTAAACCGTAACTTAAACTTAGTAGGCCTATGTTTCAAGCTTCAAACTCTTTAATTAAACACAATTTTAACATTTCTCTTTAATATAAAAAGCAAATACATTTTGCCCAAGCACTTTCCGCTGTTGTTGTTGTTATTGCTACTTTGCACAGGCACACGAGACATACACAGACACACAAACACGCATAATTATTCTACACATATGTATGTACAGAGTATTTCTAAGTTGGGACATAGAAATTGCGTCTATGTGAGTGTCTATGCATGCATGTGTGAGTATGCAGGCAGCGCTTGGGCTGTGATTATACATGGCTATAACTAATGTTCAATCGGCCTATCATGATGAATCTTGGAATTCAGCAATTGCAAAATTCTCAGAATTATGGGAAATGTTACATTACTAGCAGGTCTCCCGTCTTTGCTGGCTCAGTATTTGTGCTTCCAATTATATGTTTATTTACTATATGATATTTCTCTTCCGACACTCTCTAAAGTTTCTAAAGAGTTCATTTCCCAAGTTCATTTCGAGAGCTAGACCATAAAGTACAATAAATACTATGTAAGGTTATATGTGCATACATACATATGTATATTTATGTATATATGTAGTATGATAGGTATAAATCAAGGCAAGTAATTTCTAAAATTAAAAGCTGTACAATTTGGCAACGTTATTTGGTCAACATATGCAACTGCACAACATTTAAATGAGCGTGCACACATACAAATGTATGTATATACATACATATGTACATATATCATACTTATTTCTTATACTCTTCAATGAAAGGTTACAAAAATACAACGCAGTTTATTCTGTATTCTTTCTCAGAGTAAATACATAAACCAAGTTTAAAGTTAATCTGATTTCTAATTCTCTAAAACCACTTCTTGGTGCTCACCTATGTACACTTTGACAGCTTTTGAGCTTGTCCCGCGCGGGATATTTAGTTTTTATTTAAAAATCGGGACGTCTGGCAACGCTGATATGTACATCCATATGTACATTTTATATTTTGATGCAGGCGCTATCTATCCCCATATGCATGTACATACATGTGTACATATACACACATATAAGTGTATGTGTTCAATTGTACAGTTCAACATTTATCCATATGTGTTTTTTGAATATGAATGTTGTGAGTGTAAAAGGCGTGTTTCTGCTTTTGTTAATCGCAAGAATACATTCACGGAATAGGCTTAACGCTTAACGTCTCCCAGAATTCTTCAGAATACATTTGTAGCGTTGTTAGCTGACGCAACCTTTTAAGACAAACGGTAAATCGCTTGTAAATATGAGATCAGCTGAGGTGTTAGAGATGGGCATGTATCGATGGTCATCACGAATCCGTATGCACGGTGAATGGATACACACATTTTTCTTTGTAAATTGAATAATTAAGAGAATGTCGATATTTAATTTATGCTTGTATACATGTGTATATGGTAGTCCAATTTCCAAGGACCGATATATATATATATATATATATATATATATATATATATATATATATATATATATATATATCGATATTTAATTTATGCTTGTATACATGTGTATATGGTAGTCCAATTTCCAAGGACCGATATATATATATATATATATATATATATATATATATATATATATATATATATATATATATATATATATATTAATTTATTTTATGCAAATTAACATTGTTATTTTTTGGCTATGCACTCAAAATCCCTTGCTTTTTTCAACAATAAAATACATGTATGTACATAACACAATGTTTTAAGATAGACTTTGTGCAAAAAACTGGAATAAATATTATAGTATTTCCTTACTTTAAATTATATAATGGTCGTGTTTTTTTTGTTTCCATCGCATTTTACGTTCATTATTATGACGCATTATTTCGTCTTAAAATGGAGTTATTTTTTAAATGCATCGTGCATTATTTATTCAAAATTTTAATTTTTTATCGTTTGGGCTATGGGCTGTTGACGCGGTTTCCTTGTGTGCCCCAAGAAAGCCCCAATAATTCAGTATCCAAGAAAAAAAGTAAAAAACCGAGTATGCAGTTTTATTTGTATTTTTTTTTATTGATTGTAGAAACCACGTTTTGAACGATCGGTTGAAAAATGTGGAATTTTCAAACAAATTTTGGAGCTTGTTTTCTCCCCTTTGGAGCTCGAATTTTTAAAAATCCCTTTTTCTAAGAGTATACAAACTAAGTTTGAAGTTGATCAAATTAAAATTGTAAAATATTCATACAAACGTTGGAGCCTGTTTTCCCCCTTTGGAGTTCGAATTTTACAAAATTTAAAATTCCTTGCGTTCATCAAGACGGACAGACGGGCGGACATGTCTAGATCGATTTCTCTCGTCATGCTGATTCAGAATATATATACTTTATGGGGTCGGAGATGCTCCCTTCTGCATGTTACATACTTTGCACAAACCTAATATACCCTTTTTACCCTACGGGTACAGGGTATAAAAACTTCCACAGCGTACACCCATAAGGCATCTTTGTGCAAAATTTGGTATATCTAGCTCTTATAGTATCTGAGATCCAGGACAGACAGACATAGATTAGAGATGGGCACGGGCCGGCTATTTTCGGCCCGACACGACACGGCCACGAAATTAACTTTTAGAAACACGCACGCGCACGCACGACGAAAATTTTTCTTAACACCCAACACGAACTTTTTATATATTAAATATACAAATTTAAAAAAAAAAAAAAAAAAAAAATTATATATATATATATATATATATATATATATATATATATATATATATATATATATATATATATATATATATATATATTTTTTTTTTTTTTTAAATTTGTATATATATATATATATATATATATATATATATATATATATATGTATATAAACATTACAAATTTTTATTCAGAAAGATTATCTTATCAATATTTGAGCTAAGAAGCCGAGTTCGCTCATTTAAAATATGTCCAGAAGTGGAAAAAACTCGTTCGCTTGTTGCAGAGCTGACAGGCATATTGAGTACATGCCTTGATAATTGCCTTAGCATTTTAAATTTTGTTGCTTTTTTCCAGAATGTTAGCACACAAATTCCTGGATCAACAACACTACTTATATAGTCATCTATTTCAATATCCATTCTTGACCTGTCCAATTTAATTTTTTTTTTGAATTATTAGTGTCCAAAAATTCAGAAAAGTCGTGTTGACTATTGGGTGCTTCATTTTCTGATTCAAGTGTTAAATCGTTATTTAAGCTATCATTTATTTCAGCTAGCATCGGTTTTAGTGTTCTTTCGTGTTTCCTCGTGCGTGTTTTGTCGTGCCTTTTTGGCTCAACACGAACACTCACGGCCACGCATGAAATCGGAATTTACAACACGAACACGCGGGCTCACGCGTGGCACGAAGTGCCACGACAAAAAACACGGCCCGTGCCCAACTCTAACATAGATCGAGTCGTCTTGTCATGCTGATCAAAAATATACGTATATACTCTGTGGGGTCTGCCTCCTTCTGCCTGTTACATTATTCAGCTCCCGCAAACCTAATATACTCTTTTACATTTTATTATCATTATTTTATTAGTTTTTTACTGCTCCAAATAATGATTATTGTGTTGGGCTTTAAATTAAAACTCAAAATTAATCATTATATTGTGAAGGAATCAATACAAAAATTTAAAAATTCATTATTTTTAAGTTTCATAATAACATTCATAGTGATTACACTCCCTGGTTTTGTGGCATTCAAATGTTTTATATTTTTTTTCCTTCTTTGTTTTTTCTGTGCACTAAATACGAATACTGAATGCGATTTGGGTACTTTTGCGGCTTGAAAATTCATGATAATCACACCATCGTTTAAATTCGTCCTACTCTTTCAGGTTTACCAGACCCATTTGCCAAAGTTCATGTAGATGGAACTGGACAAGTATACTCCACCGACATTAGCAAATCTTCACTTGATCCTAAATGGAATGCGCACTATGATCTGTTTTTAGGACGCGGGGATGCCATTACCATAACAGTGTGGAATCAGCGTAAGATTCACAAGGGTAGCGGTTTTTTAGGTTGTGTGCGTATACCGGCAGGCACGATCCAAAGCCTTAAAGGTGCAGGCTGTAAGTAATCCGGTAAAAAAGGATTTAATGTAAAATTAAAGCTAATGCTCGATTTTTTCTTTGCAGTTCAACGATTGGATCTAGGGAAACTGTCGCCGGATGACGATGAACTCGTCCGTGGGCAGATCATCATTTCGTTACTGCCGAAGGATGGGCCATGCAGTGGCAATCCACTTGCTATTGTAGGACCCAGTGGCGATGTGCGTGGTCCTTCGGACGACGATTCGGCTGAGGGCAGCATCCTGCCAGCTGGCTGGGAAGAGCGACGTACTGATAACGGGCGCATATACTATGTGAATCATGTGACAAAATCAACCCAATGGGATCGGCCTACAGCATTGATGTCAACAACGATACCAGCACCAACATCCCCGCACCAGCGCCAGCAAAATGGCAACGTGGATAAACAGACGCCACCGGGTCCTACACGGTCAACAACGTGTACAAATCTTCTGAATGGCCATGGAAGTCGCTTGGTACGGGAAGCTGACGAGCGACGGCACTCAACGGAAATACTTTCTAGTATGGATGTAAGTGTTGGAAATGGAAAGGAGAACACAAGTCCCGCACCTTCAGGAAGTATAAACAGCACAAAAAAAGCGACACCGACCAGTCGTATCAGTACTTCTGCGTTGGAACAATGTACCATTAACGAATCAGTAACGCCCATTGCAGCAGAAGTAGCTACGCCTCACCCCTTAATTCACAATGAAAATCATGCGAAAACGTCAAAGTGTCAGTCCCCGCAACAAGCACCCCTCTCGACGCCTATGAATGACCATGCTGGTAATGAGACGACGACAACGGGCTCTACGACAGTAGTCCCACAGCGTAGTGCACAACACCAGCAGAACTATGTAAATGGTAATATTGGTAACAGTCAAACGGCGCAACCGCAGAGCGCAAACAATGGCTGGGATGAGCCACCCTCAAGGCACAGTTCGACATCAGGAACAGTAGCGACAACAATAAGCAACACTGAAACAGCGACTATACCAACTTCAACTACGACTACACCAGCAGCATCGAACGGCAATGTTTATAGTACGATTGGGAATAGCAACCAATCGACAACGACGGACCCTGCGAGCAGAACCCAAACGACGACTGCTCCGTCTGTACAGCGATCACAACGACGTTCCTCCCGTGCACACGCTATAAATATCAATGGTGGCAGCGGCAGCGGGGCAGGAACTGGTAACGTTGAAGATTTATCGACGCGCCGGCGGTCCTCTCGTGGCACACGTGTAGCTGGAGGTGGCAGCCACTTAACGACTTCTTGTCAACGTTACACCTCGGCTGCACTTTCAGCGGCCAACCAAGCAGCTCGACCCTTCCTAGATTTGCCGCCGGGCTATGAAATGCGGACGACCCAGCAGGGCCAGGTGTATTTCTATCATATACCTTCCGGAGTATCTACGTGGCATGATCCCCGCATTCCGCGCGATTTTAATACGCAGCACCTTACTTTGGATTCTATTGGGCCACTTCCCAGCGGCTGGGAGCAGCGCAAAACTACATCGGGCCGAGTCTATTTTGTGGATCATAATAATCGCACGACGCAGTTCACGGATCCTCGCCTCAGCGGCAGCATTATACAGATGATTAGACGTGGTACGACTCAGGGGACAAGTTCTACCGGAACTGCTACGCAGCCAACAGTAGCAGCATCTATGGCCAATACGCCAAATCGTATTACCAGCAACAGTACCCCAGCACAAAATGTATCTACACAACAACAGCACATTGTTGTGCCCGATTTACCACAGGGACTGCTCGAGGGTGCCGATCTACTCCCTAAATATCGACGAGATCTCGTGGGTAAACTACGAGCCCTGCGTACCGAGCTGCAAACCATGCAGCCGCAGTCGGGCCATTGCCGCCTGGAGGTATCCCGCAGCGAGATTTTTGAAGAGAGCTACAGACTGATTATGAAGATGCGACCAAAGGACATGCGCAAGCGCCTAATGGTGAAATTTAAGGGAGAGGAGGGCCTCGACTATGGAGGAGTAGCACGCGAATGGCTGCATTTACTGTCGCGTGAGATGCTTAACCCGCAATACGGCCTTTTTCAGTACAGTCGGGATGATCACTACACGTTGCAAATCAATCCTGACTCGGGTGTTAATCCGGATCATTTGTCGTATTTCCATTTCGTAGGCCGCACGCTGGGCATTGCCGTATTCCATGGTCATTGTCTAGATGGCGGTTTTACAACGCCTTTTTATAAACAGTTGTTAAACAAGCCAATAACATTGGGGGACATCGAGGGTGTGGATCCAGAACTGCATCGAAGCCTTACTTGGATGCTGTGAGTAACCAATTCAGGACATTGTGTTCCAAAACTGCAGTGTTTTTGCGTTTTGCAGTGAAAGTAACATTGGCGGAATTATCGAGTCCACCTTCAGTGTAGAGAACAACAGCTTTGGCGCACTGGTAGTCCACGAACTAAAACCGGGCGGTGCGTCTATAAACGTCACTGAAGAGAACAAGCGCGAGTACGTAAAGCTTTATGTAAATTATCGTTTTATGCGTGGTATTGAACAACAATTTCTGGCCCTTCAGAAAGGTGCGTAATCACGTGAAAAGATTGAAGCTTTAACAAATATACACACAATGGTTTTTGCAGGTTTTTGCGAATTGATTCCTAGCCATTTGCTACGGCCGTTTGATGAACGTGAGCTGGAACTGGTAATTGGCGGGATATCAAGTATCGATGTAAACGATTGGCGGAACAACACGAGACTGAAGCACTGCACACCTGAAACTGTTCAGGTGCTTTGGTTCTGGCAAGTGAGTGAACTTTTTTGACTAAATTTGTCGTTTCTACTAATCATCAGATTGAAAGTGAATCGCAATATTCTCGTCTAAATGCATCGGATATATGTATATGTACATATATGTAATCGTACAAACAGGCGTTTGAGCTTGCGCATTGCATGATTTCATCTTTTTCTTTATTCGTATATATTGCGGTATATTTATTCGTATACAGATGATTTTCATATTGGCAGAGAATAGGTTAGTTACCAGAACCTGAAATTTGGACTAAAGTGTCCTTTCACAGTGCAGGAGAGTGATAGATAGCGGTTTCAATTTGGTTTTGAATGGATATGAAAGAATACAACAATAGCATACAAAAACGGAAAACATGGTTTTTGAAATTTACCTTGGGGTCTGAATTATTGGGATTATCCTGTAAAAATTTGAATTTGGGGCACGAAAAGGCACCGCCCAACCCAAATTGAAAATTTGGACTTAAGTTTGCTTTTATAGTACATATGAGCACTAAGATGCTCCAAACAGGGAAAATACACTCCAAACTGCTTAGTATATTTTTTAAAACTTTTATTGACTATAATTTTTTTCAGAATTGACCTATCATGATGAAACTTGGCGTACAGACTCATAATCACTAACGGGATGTAGTTACCAAATTTTCGAAACCTTACACCCAAAGGGTGAAAGGTTATACTAGTTTTGTGCGAGTGTACATGGAACACACAGAAGAAGGCGTGGCAGACCCCACAAAGTACATATATTTTTGATCGGGATGACAAGCCGAGTCGATATAGCCATGTCCGTCTGTCTGTCTGTATGAACGCAAGAATCTCAGAAAGTATAAGAGCTAGAATAACCAAATTTGGTATCCAGATTCTCCTGATCCCGAAAAAGGACGAGTTTGTTCATTTTTTCTGATACAACCTCCCACTCCCCCCTATTCGCGATTTTCTATAACTCCCGTAATTCTTGGAACTAAAATTTGAACTAAAATTTGGTAGTCAGTGAGTAATTGTATATCCGTATACCAAGTTTCATTATGATAGGTTGATTAGAAAGAAATTTTTAGCCATATAACCAGGCCCAAGCTGTGTCCGCAGCTGTATTTGTTGCTGCTTTGATATAATTATGTAATGGACACATACATCTGTGCAAGTATTTAAACACGATTCTGATGTAAATGTATGTATGGAATATTTTATGTTTAATTTAATTTAATTTAATTAATTAAATTTTTGTTAATACTTTGATTTTGTTAATACCTGCTCGACTTTAGCAATCCTTTCTTGTACTTGTACCGTTTGTACTTATGCGGTTGGTGAATGCAAAGAAACTTGTGAGAGTAAAAACCACTACCAAATTTGAGCGATTAATTGAGTATTGGTTTATCTTGGACTGGGCAATTTTTTTTACTCAGTCGTTTTGAGTGTTCGCTCAGCACGATCAATTCAGCTGCGTTGCCTGCAGTACTTGTACTTAAGTATGATTTGCGGTGTTGACCTCGCATTATCAGTATGTACATGCAAGGTGTGTTCCAAAGTAAACAGGACTTTTTAAAAAAACAACAAATGGTTTTTCGGCAAAATCAAATCTGCTTCAATACAGCTTTTTGCACGATCCAAAAGCATGTCGAACGAGTGTTTTAGCTCGTTGGCCGGTATGGCCGCCAGTATGCCGGTGGAAACCTTTTGAATGGCCTCTACGTCTGCATACCGCTTTCCTTTCAAGGGCAAATGCATTTTTCCGAAAAGGTAGAAGTCCCACGGTGAATATGGCGAGTGGTTAATGGTTAAAATTTTTATTTTTGGTCAAATAATCGGTCACAAGCGTCGATCGATGAGACGATTCTGAGCAATTTTTGGTCGCCAGTCAATTTCTGCCATCATCCCTAACTTACTCTCGTGTACTAATGTATGCCGACGACGTAAAACTTTGCCTCTCATATAACGATGTTCAGTTTCATGACAATGATCTCAATGCCTTCGAATTGTGGTGTTCTGTTGAACTTAAATTTTGTTAAATGCAAGCTAATAACGTTCCACCGATGCAAGCCTCATTTCATTTCATATTATTTAAATAACTCTCCTGTAGAAGGAATTTTCATTGTTAACGACCTAGGTGTACTGTTTGATGCTAAACTTTGTTTTAATGATCACATCTCCACCATTGTTAATAAAGCAAAGGGAACTCTAGGCTTTATTAAACGTTGGGCAAAGGAATTTGATGACCCCTACACAACACTAATTTTGTATACGGCTTTGTTTAGTTAATTAATTTAATTTAATTAGTTAATTAATTAAATTAATTTAATTTCTTTTTTGTGGGGTGGTACAGGGTATTTAAGAGTTGAGCCTGCTCGACTTTAGCATTCCTTTCTTGTTTTTCAATATTTGAATGTATATCTAGTTTGTTATATATTTTCTTTATGTTTAATATTGACAGTTATTTGTCAATTAAATAAATAAATAAAATTTGTGCGGAACAAACCGTGCACACACCTTTCGTAAGCCCAAATGTTCGGTCCAAATGCGATAAATCGATGTTTTGGAGATGTTCAATTCCATTTCCATCAATTTCAATGATGATTTCGGCTGATTTTTGAGGAATTCACGCACAGTTTCGATGGAATTTTCGGTGATCACGAATTTTGATTGGCCCACATGTTGATCGTCATTTATGTCCTCACGACCACTTCGAAAACGTTGAAACCACTCGTGCACTCTGCTACGGGATAGGCAATCATCACCATAAACTTGTTCCATCAATTGAAACGTTTCGGTACAAGTTTTACCAATTTTAAAACAAAATTTAATGTTGGCTCTAACTTCACTTCCAATCGATAAAATGTTATGAAATTCTCACTGGACAATCGATAAGATAGCAGATTCTAACGCACCAGTCGACATATAGATAGCGCCACCAGGGGGCGCTAGATTCAAAAAGTTATATTTACTTTGGAACGTACCTTGTATGTATGTATGTACTAATATGTATGTATATATGTTTGTACATATCTAATAATATGTATGTACATCTATACTAATATTATAAAGAGGAAAGATTGTTTGTTTGTTTTTATAGCCTGTACCCAAAGGGTGAAAGGCTATACTAGTTTTGTGCGAATGTATGTAACACACAGAAGGAGGCGTGGCATACCCCACAAAGTATATATATTATTGATCAGAATGACAAGACAAGTCGATATAGCCATGTCCGTCCGTCCGTCTGTCTGTATGAGCGCAACGATCTCAGCAAGTACAATAGCTAGGATAACCAAACTTGGCATTCAGGTACCCCTCAGCCCTAGGCAGAACGAGTTTGTGTTTTTTTTCTGATACCCCACAAAGTATATATATTATTGATCAGGATGACAAGACTAGTCGATATAGCCATGTCCGTCCGTCCGTCTGTCTGTATGAGCGCAACGATCTCAGCAAGTACAATAGCTAGGCATTGAGGTACCCCTAAGCCCTAGGCAGAACGAGTTTGTGTTTTTTTTTCTGATACACCCCCCCCCCCCACTCCCCCGCAATTCTTGTTTTTCCTAACTCCGGTAATTCTTGGAATTTTGAACTGAAATTTGGCATATACATCCAGTTCGTAGTTATTTGTCCGTATGCCAAGTGCCATCATGATAGGTCAATTATGAAGAAAGTTATAGCCATAAATAAATCGCTGCTCATGCGCTGCCCGCAGCTGTTGTTGTTGTTGCTGATTTGTTTCAACTTTATGCTGCATACATACACGCATAGGCACGTGATGTAAATGTATGCTGTTAAAACTGAACATAAACATGTCTTCCAATTTCATTTAATTAATTAATTCAATTTTTTTTAAATAATATAATTTAAAAAAATATTTTTTTCTTTTTAAATTTTTCTTTTTTGTGGAGAGTACAGGCTATTTTACTGTCGGGCTTGCTCGACTGTAGCGTTCTCTCTTGTTTTTTTTTTTTTTTTTTTTTTTTTCACCGATTTAATGGATTCTTTCCGTGGGCTATATTATATTTGCAAAAAAGAATGGAATCTGAATAGCATGCTGTTAGTTCATAATCATCCTCGAAATATTATCACTTTAAATATTAAGGCAATATTATTCAAAAGCCCACAGCCAAAATAAAAATAAGTAAAAAAGCTAAAGTCGGGTGTCCCGACTGTTCAGAGTATAATTACAAATCGATCGACACCGTGATTAATATTGAAGACATTTAAATTCACTAAATCATATATATAGAGTCAATTTCCAGTAGCCCCAAGGCCAAGCCTTCGAATCAGTAGGGATCGACATACGAAACCAATGTTTTACGGTATGTTGACCTATCACGGGTCGGAGCTCCTGAAAATCAATTTATTTTGCTACCACAAAATAAAACATCAAATATCTTTTACAGAAAATCTCTGACCTAATCAAGAACAGCAAAAAATCTGAAAACGAACAAAAAATCATTAAAATAATAAAATCCAAAATAAATTTTACTCCTTTGTAGCTCCTAGCAAAAAGAAGGATGTATGCGTGTTATAAAATGTATATTTTTTATTTTTTTTGTAAAAATACCCGTGCGAAGCAGGAGCAGGACGATAGTATCTCTATATATATAAAACAGTTTGTTCTGACTGACTGACTAACGGTAAGAGCTAGGAAGCTGAAATTTGGACATGAAATCCCTCTCCAAAGGGGGAAAACCGGCTCCAACGTTTGTATGAAAAATCTACAATCCGATTAACTTCAAACTTAGTTTGTATACTCTCATAAAGAATACAAGGAAAATTGTGTACTTGGTTTTTCCTGGGGCCAGAATTAGAGGGATTTTCCCGTGGAAAAATTGGGACCCGAAAAGCCATGTGCAATCAACGCACAGCCCAAACGGTAAGAGCTAGGAAGCTGAATTTTGGACAAAAGTTCTCTTTTATGATTTTGGAAAATTCGAATGCCAAAGGGAAAAGGGACTCCAAAGATTGTTTGGCTTCAAACTTGAATTGTGTAATCTATAAAAGAATTAAAAAAACACTGCT